TTAATATTAGCAAGTGACAGGAAAGTTTCTTTCAACTCTCATGCCCGAAGGCAGTCACACTACTAATCTCTTAAACTACAGTACTAAATCAATTTGCTTATATGCAAGGAAAAATGTAACTTTAAAAAAATGATCTAAGAAGACCCACCTTAATTACTTGTCTGAATCTTGAAGAGCTTAAGTTTATCGCTCGCCACAACTCCTCGGAATCGTCTTTTATCTGTCGATAAAGACTGCACCTGGTAACGATCATTGCCAAGGACTTGAGTCACCACAACTGGACCCATATACTTCTGTACAAGTTTGCCACTGGTCAGTCCTTTTACTAGAGGAGTTCTTCGAACAAGGACCTTGTCTCCAACATTATAACTGATTGCGTCAAGTCTATTTTTATCATAACGCTGCTTCATACGCTGTTCACTTTTCTTTATGTTAGCGACAGCTTGATCTCGCGCACATTTCAATTTACACTGCCTATCTGCCTGGTTATTATTTAAAACAACATCAAATTTAAGTCTAGGTCTGTAACCGTAAAGCAATTCAGAAGGAGTTGTACCGGTTGTTGCGTTTATTGTTCCATTAATACCGCTCTGAACTTCAATAATCTTACTTTCCCATGCGTCTTGGTCTTCACCTACCGCAGCTGACATAGCATTTAAAATTGTGTCATTGAAACGTTCTACCTGACCATTGCTTCTAGGGCAAGCAATAGCACAAAGGATATGTTTGATGTTATATTCTTTACAAAACTCTGTCATTTTCTTACTAGTAAAACCTTTACCGCGGTCAGTAATTATTCTTTCAGGAATACCGAAAAATTTAAGAAGTAATTCCATGGTCTTTGTTATATACTGTGTACTTGTATCTGGAACGGCTTCAATCCAGGTAAATTTTGTGAATCCGTCTACTATTACGAGCATGTATACATTTCCATTTGAAGTTTTGCAAAAGGGACCCAAATGGTCTAGATGTAATGTATGAAATGGTCTGTCAACCTTGGTAATAGGATGTAAACGTCCTCTTTTCCTTCCAGTTGGTCTTTTACTGCATAAACATGCAATGCAACTTCCCACGTATTTTGTTATGAATTGTCTCATTTTAGGAAACCAATAATTTTTACATATTGCTTCCAATGTTCTCTTTGGTCCTGGATGTCCGTTATCATCATGATAAAATTTTGTTATTCGCCAACGAACATCTTTTGGTATTATTATTTTGTTTTCTCCATTGACTATTCGACAAATTTTATTTTCTACTAATACGTAACATTCTTCTGCTTCGTTGGAGTTTATCTGTTGTTTAATAAGCTTACAGTCATCGTTTGTAGATTGTACACATTCAATCTAATCGGATGTTTTGATGGAGGCAACTATATTAACAGGATGTCTACTAAGTGCATCCACATGTTTCATTTGGGTGCCCGGTCGGTAAACACAATCAAAATCATATTCCTGTAGCTCAATCCACCAGCATACGAAAATCTTAAAGGTCCTAAAATTTCATTTATGGCTCTTTGAAAAACGGACGGTGCATTAGTAAGTCCAAACGGAACCCTTTTGTAATGATAGTGACCATCCGGCGTTACAAAAGCAGTGTATGGTCGGCTAGTTTCGGCGACCCTTAACTGATGGTAGCCTGATGCCAAGTCTAAAGTAGAGAAGTAAGAGTTTCCAGTCAACCTATCTAATTGATCCTCAATGCGGGGTAGAGGATATTTATCTTTTACCGTAACTGAATTAAGTTTACGATAATCTACACACAATCTGACATCTCCAGTTTTCTTTTTCACTAAAATAATTGGGCTGGCGTATGGTGATACCGTCGGTTCTATTATGTCCTTTTTTTTAATAAATCGTCGATTATGTTCCTAACCAATTCACGTTCATAATATGATAAAGGATAGGGCCTGTAGCATATAGGCTTATCACAGGTTAGTTTAATTTCCATTTCAATATTTGTAGCTTTCAATTCTGAATTTTTAGTACCAAAATATTCATGATATTTATTTAACAATTTATTCAGTTGTTCTTGTTCAGCGTCAGTCAATGTAGTAGAACTTTCAGGTACTTCAATCTGGTTAGATTGCCCGTCAGCCGAAGCTGAAGAGATTCCCCGTGCTACACACTGACCTCTACTGAACTGAGTAGGTAGCTTGCTGATATTAAAGACCGTCAATAAGCCAATGCCACTGTTTAACATTAGCGGTTTTGCAGGAACAACTAGAGTACCACCTTGACAATATCTTTCAGAATAATTAATCATCAAAGTCCCATTAGGAAGAGAACTAACCACTTCAATACGATTGATACCTGGAACGAGCGGAGTGTCATTTTCGACATGTACGGTATATTTATCTTGATGTTCCACTGCTTCATTTGGCAAACAATTCGAATCTTCATTTAAATAAAAATTCAAACTATCAGCAGTTTTGGTTACATAAACATTTGGTAATTCAGTAAAAGTACGCCCAAGTATTAAATCAAAATCTTGACATTCGTTGTCAACAATAACTAGTGGTATTACACATTCGACGTTATCGATTTTTACTGTTGCGATTGACTCACCTAATGATTCGACAGTAGCACCTCCATATCCTCGCAAAGTCGTAACTTTTCCAGTGTTAATTTTTAAATCAAGCGACTGTGCTTTACGTTGTTTAAGAATACAACAAGCACTACCGAAATCAATATAAGCTTGTATAGGTTTATTGTTTAATTTCACCTTCGACGTGATATTTTCTATCATCGCTAGCAACCAAATTAATTTTCTGGGAGTTATGTTTCAATTTGAAACATTTATCTCTCGTGTGACCAGGTTTTTTGCAATGCGAACAAGTAATCTGATCCTCAGCATTATTTCTATAACAATTTCTAGAAAAGTGTCCCGTTTTACCACAAGTAAAGCATTTATGCGACGAATTCGGTTTAGACACGTTTTGTTTATTTTTGTGTTTATATTGTCCATGCTGTACGTTACTAGTTGACGCTGTTGAAAGGTTCGAGTAATCTGATTCCACCAGAAATTTTAACAATTGATCTGTACTATTACATTTAGCTGCTTGGGCACTTGCTTGTAATAAATTGTTATTTAAAGTCGATATTATAACTTATGTTATAACATGATCAGGCAGATCACAATGTTTGCCAAGACGTAGTTTAGCATAATAAAACGAAACAATATCTTCATGCTGTTTTCTTTCAGAGTTAACAAAACCTTTTAATTTTGAAGCAATACTTCGAACAGAAGGAAAAGCAGAAATTAATTTTTCTTTCCATTGTTGCCAGGTATTCTCAAAATTACTTTGACACTCATACCATGCTTTTGCATTTCCCGTCAACTTACTAATCATACAAAATATTTTAGTCTTGTCATCCCAACAATATAAATTAGCGACCGATTCAATTTTGTTCAGCCGATGTTGTATTGTAACAGAATTTGTAGACGCATCAAATTCTGGTATTAATTCATTGCGACCAATATATTGAGAAATTGACCTAGGTTCTGATGCTAATTGTTTGGGCATCGAACGTGATTGTTCAGCACTTTCAGTTTGTTTGGGTGATCTCGACTCTGGCGGCGACACATGACGAGAATGACGTGGTGGCGTATTACTTCGTCCGTGCGACGACACCAGCGTCTCCGCGTGATCATGAGAATTCCCGCGCGTACTGCGTATTAAAGATTCTAGAGATTTAAGTCTTTTTTCTATAGATTCAACATAATGAGAAGGACTAGCGCTAAGACGCCTTTTCGAGCTTCTCCGTCTCTTATTTACGGTGCGGTCACGGCTTTT